TTGCGTGTCTCTCTCTCTTATCTTTATTCTTACTTGCAATTATATTAACTGTGAAAACTAACCTATCCATATTAATTACTGTTCACTCCACCCACCAAATTCCGCACACAATCTAAAGTTCACAAGGACTCTAGATTAACACTCATTTTCTCGTTTTCAAAAGAAACGAAAAAGATTTTAAACTTGTAACAAAGTCTATTCACCCCCCCTCTAGACTTTGTATCTCACCACTTTGGGACCACCACATAGTGATCCTTTCCCACTTCCATTCCGGAATGGTAGGAGGGTGCAGCAACCCTGTCGGAACCTGGTGCTCAGCCTTGACTTGCTGACAAGTCAAACAGCGCGCAGTGAACTTGGAGATTTCCTTTTTCATAGCTGGCCACCAATAGGATTTCTTCAAATCCTGATACATCTTGTTACTACCCGGGTGCATAGTGTAAACGGTTCCGTGAGCCTTGCGCAACAAGCGATCCCTCACTCCACCGCGGGGCACCACTAGGCGTTCACGATAGTACAATACTCCGTCATTGCGAATTGCAAACTCGGGCCTCTTTCCTGTAGGAACTAACTCTCGAGTCTTCTGACAAAACTCATCACCTCTCTGTGCTGTACGGATCTCCTGCTCTAACGGAGATTGAAGCTGTAGCTCGGCTAACGATTTTCTGCTCAAAGCATCGGCCACGATGTTAGCCTTGCCCGGGTGATACTCAATGACTAAATCGTAATCCTTGATCAGCTCCAACCATCGGCGTTGTCTAAGATTCAGCTCCTTCTGGGTGAGTAGGTACCTCAAACTCTTGTGGTCGGTGAAGATGTGAATCCTCTCCCCAAAGATGTAGTGGCGCCAAATCTTCAAGGCGAACACCACGGCTGCCAACTCTAAATCATGTGTCGGGTAATTCTCCTCGTGAGTCTTACAATGTCTCGATGCATAGGCCACTACCTTACTCAACTGCATCAGTACACAAAACTTAAGCCGCTATGAGATGCGTCACTATAGATGGTATACTCGATGCCAGGGGTAGGTTGAATCAAGTCTGGTGCCTGGGTCAGGCACTCCTTCAGTTGATCAAAACTGCGCTGGCACGCTTCTGTCCACTCGAATTTGATGTCCTTACGCAGTAGCTTGTTCAATGGAGTAGCGATCGAAGCGAAGCCCTTAACAAATCGACGATAGTAACCGGCTAACCCAAGGAAGCTCCTCACCTCACGAACATTCCGCGGAGTCTTCTAATCCACTATGGCTGAAATCTCTCTGGGGTCTACCTGGATACCGGTGGCAGAGATAACATGTCCTAAGAATGTCACCTCACTCAACCAGAATTCACATTTAGACAATTTTGCATACAGCTTGTGCTCTCTCAACACACTCAAACCAATTGCAAATGTCTAGCATGCTCCTCCTGAGTCCGTGAATAAACCAAGATGTCATCGATGAACACTACTACGAACTGGTCTAAGTATGGTCGGAACACACTGTTCATAAGCTCCATGAACACTGCCGGGGCATTAGTCAATCCGAAAGGCATGACTGAGAACTCATAATGCCCATAGCGTGTTCTAAAAGCAGTCTTCGGAATGTCTTCTCTCTTAACGGAAATCTGATGGTATCCAGAACGCAGATCAATCTTTGAGAATACTGTAGCTCCTCTGAGCTGGTCAAACAGGTCGTCGATGCGAGGCAATGGATAACGATTCTTCACTGTGGCTTTGTTCAACTGTCTGTAGTCGATGCAAAGTCTCATGGATCCATCTTTCTTTCGAACAAATAACACCGGTGCTCCCCATGGGGAAACGCTAGGTCGGATGAATCCCTTTTCCAGTAGCTCTTGCAACTGAGCCTTCAACTCCTTCATCTCGGCAGGTGCTATACGATACGGTGTAGCAGATATGGGTTCCGTACCCGGAATGAGATTGATCGAGAACTCTACCTCTCTCGGCGGAGGCAAACAAGGTAGGTCTTCGGGAAAGACATCGGGGAAGTCGCAAACCGTACGAATGTCC